TCTGAAGAAAGATTGACAAAGCTTAAATTACATTCTCTAGAAAGGCAAAGAAATAGAGGTGACATGATAGAGCTGTGAATGATAGTAAAGGGGAATATTAATGACCCATTATACGTATCAACATGAAACAGAACAGGAATGAATTGGATAACTTATATATTTAGGAAAACGACCTGGGTGAATATAGGTAGCAGGGGAAGAACTCGAAAAATACACAAATAACTTCTTGCAGTGGTGCTCGCCTTTTGTTTCATGCAATGACAGATGGTTGGAAGTAAATAGGAAATTTAAAATAGTCTAGGGTTGATGGTATTTTACATTAGGTTTCAGGGTTACTGTTTTTTGCCCTATGCATAATAAACGATCCTTCAAGAAAGATTGCCATAGCTCAAATTACATTTACTAGAATGAAGACGACGAAGAAGAAATAGGGGTGACATGATAGAGGTGTGACTGAATGGTCATACTAAAGGAGAATATTTATAACCTATTATACGTATCGACATGAAACAGAATAGGAATGAATTGGATAAGTTTTATATTTAGGAAAAAGACCTGGGTAAATACAGGCAGCAGGGGACGAACTTGAAAATACACACAACACTTCTTGCAGTGCTGAAGTTATGTTCTTCCCTCACATACATGATCCCCTTTGATAAATGTAATAGGTGATGGTTGGAAGTAAATATGAAATTAAAAATAGACTAGGGATGATGGTATTTTATATTAGGTTTCAAGGTTACTGTTGTATCGCAAAACACACGACTCATAGACCGGCTTTTTAATCCCCTCGAACATGCAGGAACGCTGAGCGGCTAGCTGGTGACGTCATTGACCATTAGCAATGTCTGTGCAGGGTCACTGAGCCAACGAAATTTGGGGATGACTGGAGGCGGCCGTTTAATCCCCTTGAGAGAAAATGACAGGGGCCATAGAGCGACTTGTAGAAAACCCAGGGTGCGTAGACCGTGCCTGGAAAAAACAAAAACGCACGGTCTATGTCGTACTTCAAGTTCGTGAAACTAGGGGTGCGTAGACAGGCCCCGGAAAAAAAAAAAAAAACCACGACCGGTCTAAAAGTTGAAAATAACCCTGCGACGTAGAGCGTCCCTGGAAAAAACCAAAACGGACGCTCTATGGGGCTGCGACGTAGAGCGTCCCTGGAAAAAAACAAAACGGACGCTCTACGGCATGATGCCGTAGAGCGTCCCTGGAAAAAACCAAAACGGACGCTCTACGGCATGATGCCGTAGAGCGTCCCTGGAAAAAACCAAAACGGACGCTTTACGTCATCATGCCGTAGAGCGTCCCTGGAAAAAACCAAAACGGACGCTTTACGTCATCATGCCGTAGAGCGTCCCTGGGAAAAAACCAAAACGGACGCTTTACGTCATCAATCCCACTACTGTTATTAGCTCCATCTATTTGACGGTGTGATCTTAGACCATGTTATTAGCTCCATCTAGTTGACGGTGTGATCTTAGACCATGTTATTAGCTCCATCTAGTTGACGGTGTGATCTTAGACATGTTATAAGCTCCATCTAGTTGACGGTGTGATCTTAGACCATGTTATTAGCTCCATCTAGTTGATGGAGTGATCTTAGACCATGTTATTAGCTCCATCTAGTTGACGGAGTGATCTTAGACCATGTTATTAGTTCCATCTAGTCGACAGTGTGATCTTGGACCATGTTATTAGCTCCATCTAGTTGACGGAGTGATCTTAGACCATGTTATTAGCTCCATCTAGCTGAGAGTGATCTTAGACCATGTTATTAGCTCCATCTAGTTGACGGAGTGATCTTAGACCATGTTATTAGCTCCATCTAGTTGACGGAGTGATCTTAGACCATGTTATTAGTTCCATCTAGTTGACGGAGTGATCTTAGACCATGTTATTAGTTCCATCTAGTTGACGGAGTGATCTTAGACCATGTTATTAGTTCCATCTAGTTGACAGAGTGATCTTAGACCATGTTATTAGTTCCATCTAGTTGACGGAGTGATCTTAGACCATGTTATTAGCTCCATCTAGTTGACGGAGTGATCTTAGACCATGTTATTAGCTACATCTAGTTGACAGTGTGATCTTAAACCATGTTACCAGCTCCATCTAGCTGACAGTGTGATCTTAGACCATGTTATTAGTTCCATCTAGTTCGCAGTGTGATCTTAGACCATGATATTAGTTCCATCTAGTTGGCAGTGTGATCTTAGACCATGTTATTAGCTCCATATACCTGACAGTGTGATCTTAGACCATGTTATTAGCTCCATCTAGCTGGCAGTGTGATCTTAGACCATGTTATTAGCTCCATCTAGTTGACAGTGTGATCTTAGACCATGTTATTAGCTCCATCTAGTTGACAGTGTGATCTTAGATCATGTTATTAGTTCCATCTAGTTGACAGTGTGATCTTAGGCCATGTTACCAGCTCCATCTAGTTGACAGTGATCTTAGACCATGTTATCAGCTCCATCTAGCTGACAGTGTGATCTCAGACCATGTTATTAGCTCCATCTAGTTGACAGTGTGATCTTAGACCATGTTACCAGCTCCATCTAGCTGACAGTGTGATCTCAGACCATGTTACCAGCTCCATCTAGCTGGCAGTGTGATCTTAGACCATGTTATTAGCTCCATCTAGCTGGCAGTGTGATCTCAGAACATGTTATTAGCTCCATCTAGTTGACAGTGTGATTTTAGACCATGTTATCAGCTCCATCTAGCTGACAGTGTGATCTTAGACTATGTTATTAGCTCCATCTAGCTGACGGTGTGATCTTAGACCATGTTACCATCTCCATCTAGCTGACAGTGTGATCTTAGACCTTGTTATTAGTTCCATCTAGTTGACAGTGTGATCTTAGACCATGTTATTAGCTCCATCTAGCTGACGGTGTGATCTTAGACCATGTTACCAGCTCCATCTAGCTGACAGTGTGATCTTAGACCATGTTACCAGCTCCATCTAGCTGACAGTGTGATCTTAGACCATGTTATTAGCTCCATCTAGTTGACAGTGTGATCTTAGACGATGTTACCAGCCCCATCTAGCTGACAGTGTGATCTTAGCCCATGTTATTAGCTCCATCTAGCTGACAGTGTGTTCTTAAGCCATGTTACTAGCTCCATCTAGCTGACAGTGTGATCTTAGACCATGTTATTAGCTCCATCTAGCTGACAGTGTGATCTTAGACCATGTTATTAGCTCCATCTAGCTGACAGTGTGATCTTAGACCATGTTATTAGCTCCATCTAGCTGACAGTGTGATCTTAGACCATGTTATTAGCTCCATCTAGCTGACAGTGTGATCTTAGACCATGTTTCTCGCTAAAGTGTGATCAGATCACCATGTTGATAGCCGCGGTGACAAGACCAAACAAATTTATTATGCAGGACGAAAAAAACAACAGCGTTGTATGATATCCTGAGAGAAGAAAATGTATTTTGAACACAGATGTGTATTATGAGGTAATTATGGTGCAGGTGTTGATGTCAGGTGTTTTATGAGTTTTTTGGAAGGTGTTTTGCCTCAGGTGTGTAATCAGAGGTTATGGCTTGAATGTCAGGTATATATATTCAGGTGATCTGAATGTTTCTCAGAACCAGGTGTGTGTAGGTAACCTTGAATATTACGTGACGCAGGTGTGTGCGGGGGTCACGTGTTTAATAAATTAATCAAAGTGATTCAGTGAAATTATTTGGCTGTTATCCTCTCTCTCTCTCTCTCTCCCTGCTTATATATGTGTGTATATATATATGACGTATATATATATACGTCATGTGTGTATGGGCTCATATACTCAGCTTACCTAATTACACAACTGACACACACACACACGTAGGCCTAGGAAACTCCAGTATTGCCCTCAATACACACCTGCGTTAAGCCACCAACCAAAGTACTTACCTACACACCTGACACCAACACCAGGGAACCATCCTGGTGTTGATCTGTCACATTAGAAATATTGCATTATACCTTGCACATATGTATACCTGATTGATGGGGTTCTGGGAGTTCTTTACACCCCAAGCCCGGCCTGAGGCCAGGCTTGAGGTGTGAGAGTTTGGTCCACCAGGCTGTTGCATGGAGCGGCCCGCAGGCCCACATACTCACCACAGCCCGGTTGGTCCGTTACTTTTGAAGATTGACAACTATCTAGTTTTCTCTTGAAGATGTCCACGGTTATTCCGGCAATATTTCTTATAGTCGCTGGGAGGGTGTTGAACAACCGCGGACCTCTGATGTTTATACAGTGTTCTCTGATTGTGCCTATGGCACCTCTGCTCTTCACTGGTTCTATTCTGCATTTTCTTCCATATCGTTCACTCCAGTACGTTGTTATTTTACTGTGTAGATTTGGCACCTGGGCCTCCAGTATTTTCCATGTGTATATTATTTGGTATCTCTCTCGTCTCCTTTCTAGTGAGTACATTTGGAGAGCTTTATTTAATTTAGGTGCTTTATCTCGTCTATGTATGCCGTATATGTTCTCTGTATTCCCTCTATTACAGCAATCTCTCCTGCTCTGAAGGGAGAAGTGAGTACTGAGCAGTACTCAAGACGGGACAACACAAGTTACTTGAAGAGTACAACCATTGTGATGGGATCTCTGGTTTGAAGGTTCTCGTAATCCATCCTATCATTTTTCTGACTGACGCAACACTTGCTTGGTCATGCTCCCTAAAGGTTAGGTCGTCAGACATCATTATTCCCAAATCCTTCACGTGCTGTTTTCTTTTACAAACAGATTTTAATGTGTTTTGTACCATGTATTATGTTTAAGGTCCTCATTTTTACCGTACCTGAGTACCTGGAATTTATCACTGTTAAACATCATGTTATTGTCTGCTGCTCAGTCGAAAACTTTATTAATATCTGCTTGTAGTTTTTCAATGCAGATGAACTTATATTTATTATATACATATACCAATAAGAAAGAATGTGTCTAGTTTTGAAGGCCACAGTATTGGGGTTGGCCTCGCCCAAATGGGCAGAGTGGTGAGGTGCAAGAACTTCTCCCAGCAGCCAGTCCTTAGCCTTCCCTGCAACCATCCCAGCCGGCTCACTGGGGGCCCACGGGCCACCCAGCCGGCTCACTGGGGGCCCACTGGCCACCCAGCCGGCTCACTGGGGGCCCACTGCCCACCCAGCCGGCTCACTGGGAGCCCACCGAGCATCCCAGCCGGGTCACTGGGAGCCCACCCAGCATCCCAGCCGGGTCACTGGGAGCCCACCGAGCATCCCAGCCGGGTCACTGGGAGCCCACCCAGCATCCCAGCCGGGTCACTGGGAGCCCACCCAGCATCCCAGCCGGGTCACTGGGAGCCCACCGAGCATCCCAGCCGGGTCACTGGGAGCCCACCGAGCATCCCAGCCGGGACACTGGGAGCCCACCGAGCATCCCAGCCGGCTCACTGGGAGCCCACCCAGCTCACTGGGAGCCCACCGAGCATCCCAGCCGGCTCACTGGGAGCCCACCGAGCATCCCAGCCGGCTCACTGGGAGCCCACCGAGCATCCCAGCCGGGTCACTGGGAGCCCATCGAGCATCCCAGCCGGCTCACTGGGAGCCCACCCAGCATCCCAGCCGGCTCACTGGGAGCCCACCCAGCATCCCAGCCGGGTCACTGGGAGCCCACCCAGCATCCCAGCCGGGTCACTGGGGGCCCACCCAGCATCCCAGCCGGGTCACTGGGAGCCCACCGAGCATCCCAGCCGGCTCACTGGGAGCCCACCCAGCATCCCAGCCGGGTCACTGGGAGCCCACCGAGCATCCCAGCCGGCTCACTGGGAGCCCACCGAGCATCCCAGCCGGGTCACTGGGAGCCCACCGAGCATCCCAGCCGGCTCACTGGGAGCCCACCGAGCATCCCAGCCGGCTCACTGGGAGCCCACCGAGCATCCCAGCCGGGTCACTGGGAGCCCACCCAGCATCCCAGCCGGGTCACTGGGGGCCCACCGAGCATCCCAGCCGGGTCACTGGGAGCCCACCCAGCATCCCAGCCGGGTCACTGGGAGCCCACCCAGCATCCCAGCCGGGTCACTGGGAGCCCACCCAGCATCCCAGCCGGGTCACTGGGAGCCCACCCAGCATCCCAGCCGGGTCACTGGGAGCCCACCCAGCATCCCAGCCGGGTCACTGGGGGCCCACCCAGCATCCCAGCCGGGTCACTGGGAGCCCACCCAGCATCCCAGCCGGGTCACTGGGAGCCCACCCAGCATCCCAGCCGGGTCACTGGGAGCCCACCCAGCATCCCAGCCGGGTCACTGGGAGCCCAGCCGGGTCACTGGGAGCCCACCGAGCATCCCAGCCGGGTCACTGGGAGCCCACCGAGCATCCCAGCCGGGTCACTGGGGGCCCACCGAGCATCCCAGCCGGGTCACTGGGGGCCCACCCAGCATCCCAGCCGGGTCACTGGGAGCCCACCGAGCATCCCAGCCGGGTCACTGGGAGCCCACCCAGCATCCCAGCCGGGTCACTGCCCACCCAGCATCCCAACCCACCCAGCATCCCAGCCGGGTCACTGGGAGCCCACCGAACATCCCAGCCGGGTCACTGGGAGCCCACCGAGCATCCCAGCCGGGTCACTGGGGGCCCACCGAGCATCCCAGCCGGGTCACTGGGGGCCCACCCAGCATCCCAGCCGGGTCACTGGGAGCCCACCGAGCATCCCAGCCGGGTCACTGGGGGCCCACCCAGCATCCCAGCCGGGTCACTGGGAGCCCACCGAGCATCCCAGCCGGGTCACTGGGAGCCCACCCAGCATCCCAGCCGGGTCACTGGGAGCTTCTCTTAAAGTTTCAAAACGTTATGAAAAACGTTAATTGAAAGTTTCCTCTTCTAGCCTTACCGAGTAGGCCGGACGACTCAAACAGAAAACGGGACAATATGTCACTTTTGTGAGTCGATTTCATTTCAAATAACGTCCAAATTTGGCCATAGTGCGCATACGAGCCAAAAGTGACGTTATTTTTAAGAGGACGGGTTGGTTTGTAAGCACACTCAACACCCTATATGCGCGAACGGTTTATAGTCGTTCCTGATGCAGCACTGGCTGCCCCCAGCCACGACACCTACAACGGCGGCAACGGCGCCGGAGCAGAGCGCGGAGTCGGGGACGCCTGAGCAGAGTAGGGAGTCGGGGACGCCTGAGCAGAGCGCGGAGTCGGGGCCCCCTGAGCAGAGTAGGGAGTCGGGGACGCCGGAGCAGAGTAGGGAGTCGGAGACGCCGGAGCAGAGCGCGGAGTCGGGGACGCCTGAGCAGAGTAGGGAGTCGGGGACGCCTGAGCAGAGCGCGGAGTCGGGGACGCCTGAGCAGAGTAGGGAGTCGGGGACGCCTGAGCAGAGTAGGGAGTCGGGGATGCCTGAGCAGAGCGCGGAGTCGGGGCCCCCTGAGCAGAGCGCGGTGTCAATGGCGCTGGAGCAAAGCGCGGTGTCGCGGGCACCGGAACAGAGCGCAGTGGCGATAGCACCAGAGCAGAGTGCGGTGTCAGAGGTCCCGGAGCAGAGCACAGAGTCGGGAACGCCGCAGCAGAGTGCGGTCCCTGGCAAAGGGAAAAGGCCCTAAAATCTGTTGGTATTACAAATGAGCTACCTGTAAACATGGGATATCGGGAAGAACAAATGGAACATGTACATACGATCACCCTAGAAAGTGCAGAAACCTCCTCAATACAGGTAAATGTACCAAAAGCTGTGAATTCTTTCACTCAGAAATTTGCAAGAACTCTTTGGACAGGAAAGAGTGCTTCAATGCTGAATGTCCAGCTTTTCATATAAGAGGTACCAGGCGAATAAAACCGACACACCACCACTATGAAAACAGCCACTACTCCATCGACCGGGATAATTTTTTAGCAAGAGGAGGAGGAGAAGAATGGCTAAAAATGACCAGACTCTACCACCAACTCGGTCAAATGCTACAGAGAACGCAAACACAGTGGCCTCCTTACCAGAGCCTCAGATATTAACACCAATTAAAGCATCCAGCACTTCCACTAACACGATAACATCATTTATATTTGCCAACATCCAGGGTATAAAAACACGCAAATCCAACAAAGTTCACTTTATAGATGGTCTCCTTCATGAGGCAAATGCAGTGTTTGCAGCCCTAACGGAAACTCACACAAAGGACTACCATGATGGTGAAATATGGATCTCAGGGTACAATCTTTTCAGATATGATAGGAAACACTGGCTTCAGGGTGGGGTCAGCCTCTACATCAAAGACACACTCATCTGTACTGAACTGCTAAACACCTCAAATGATATGGTGGAAGTGCTGATAGTCAAAATAGAGATCCTATATGTAGTTGTTGTCCTTGTATATAAGTCACCGGAGGCAAACCCTCAGCAGTTTAAAGACCAACTAATGAAACTAGAACACTGCTTGGAAAACCTCACAAATCCGGCTCCGAACATCATCCTGCTTGGGGACTTCAACCTACGGCACCTGAAATGGAAGCACCTGGCTAATACAGTAATATCAGAAAGAATACCAGGAAGTAGCCTAAATGAACAGACACATGCAAATGACCTGCTACGGTTGTGCGATAGGTTTGCCTTAAACCAGCAAATAGTAGAACCAACTAGGAAGGAGAACACGCTGGACCTCATTTTCACTAATAATGATAAATTGATCGCGAACATAATGATTACAAATAGCTGTTACTCAGATCACAACTTAATTGAAGTTCTGACAACCATGGGGAATAGACCTTCAAAACCAGTCCAGATTCCCGGTGGAGGAGATTTCAGCAAATTCAACTTCAATAATAAACAGATAAACTGGGAGCAAATAAACCAGGACTTCACAGAAATAAACTGGGAAGAACAGCTAGAAAATGCAAACCTGAACCAGTGCCTGCAAAAAATAAGCTCAGTAGCACTAGAAATATGTTCAAACCGCATACCCCTAAGAAAAAAGAGAAAGAGATGCAGATTGGAATGGGAACGTCGTTCCCTATATAGGCGAAGAAAACGAATCGCGGAACAACTTGAGAGTCGCACCCCATCTCAAGAACGTCTAAGGTTAGGTAGAGAAATAAAAACAATTGAACTCAAGCTACAAGAATCATACAAAACCCAGGAGAGGCAAAGAGAACAAAATGCCATCAGTGAAAGAGAGAGAAATCCGAAATATTTTTTCTCCTATGCAAAATCAAGATCAAAAACCACATCTAGTATCGGGCCCCTGCGAAAGGGAGATGGAACTTTCCCCGATGACAACAAAGAAATGAGCGAGTTACTGAGGAAGCAGTACGACTCTGTTTTCAGCGAGCCATTAAACGCACTAAAGATTGATAACCCAAATGATTTTTTCATGGATATGATACCAACATCAAATCATATATCAGACGTCACCCTATACCCACTGGATTTTGAAGAAGCCATAAACAGTATGCCTATGCACTCTGCACCAGGCCCGGATTCTTGGAACTCCATATTCATCAAGAACTGTAAAAAAACACTATCGCAGGCCCTTCACATTCTGTGGAGACAAAGCCTAGATACTGGCGTTATCCCTGATATACTAAAAACAGCAGATAGCACCACTTCATAAAGGAGGAAATAAGGCAGAGGCAAAAAATTACAGACCGATAGCACTAACATCGCACATCATAAAATTTTTTGAGAGAGTGCTAAGAAGTAAGATCACAAAATACATGGAATCACAGCATCTCCATAACCCCGGACAACATGGTTTCAGAACAGGGCGCTCTTGCCTGTCGCAGTTGCTGGACCACTATGATATGGCATTAGATGCTATGGAAGACAAACAAAACGCTGATGCAATTTACACAGATTTCGCAAAAGCTTTTGATAAATGTGACCATGGTGTTATTGCACATAAAATGCGTTCAAAAGGAATTACCGGAAAAATAGGCAGATGGATCTACAATTTCCTGACTGACAGAACCCAATGTGTAATAGTCAACAAAATAAAATCCCGCGCATCAACCGTGAAGAGCTCAGTCCCCCAGGGTACTGTGCTTGCTCCAGTACTTTTGCTCATCCTCATATCGGACATAGACAAGAACACAACCTATAGCACTGTATCATCCTTTGCAGATGACACTAGGATCTTCATGAGAGTAGGCAACATAGAGGACACGGCAAACCTCCAGTCAGATGTAGATCAGGTCTTTCTATGGGCTACAGAAAATAATATGATGTTTAACGAATAAGTTCCAGCTCATGCGCGACGGAAAAAATGAAAATATAAAAACGGAAACCAAGTACCTCAGGCAAATCATAACATAGAACGAAAAGGCAATGTAAAGGATCTGGGTGTACTCATGTCGGAAGACCTTACCTTTAAAGAACACAATAAAGTAGCCGTCACAACTGCAAGAAAAATGACAGGTTGGATAACAAGAACTTTTCACACCAGAGATGCTATACCGATGATGATACTTTTCAAAACGCTTGTGCTCTCTAGAGTGGAGTACTGCTGCACAATGACAGCCCCTTTCAAAGCTGGAGAAATTGCTGACCTGGAGAGCGTGCAGAGATCCTTTACTGCTAGAATCCACTCAGTAAAACATCTAAATTACTGGGACCGACTAAAGAGCCTAAATTTTTACTCCCTTGAGCACAGGCGTGAGAGATACATAATAATTTACACGTGGAAAATAATTGAGGGGCTGGTCCCAAACCTGCACACTGAAATAACATCACATGAGACCAGAAGACATGGCAGGATGTGCAGAATACCCCCGTTAAAAAGCGGAGGTACAACAGGTACTCTGAGAGAGAACTCTATCAACATCAGAGGCCCGAGACTGTTCAACACGCTTCCGCTACACGTAAGGGACATAACTGGCCGACCCCTCACAGTGTTCAAGAGAGTACTGGATAAACTCCTCCAAAGGATACCTGATCAACCAGGCTGTGACTCATACGTCAGCCTGCGAGCAGCCGCGTCCAACAGCCTGGTTGATCAGTCCAGCAACCAGGAGGCCTGGTCGACGACCGGGCCGCGGGGACGCTAAGCCCTGGAAGCACCTCAAGGTAACCTCAAGGTAAGGTGGTCGTGCGGCCCAGGCTCTGCTTCAGGAGACTGGGGTCGTTCATACCCTTGATGGGGTGGTTCTTCTCCGGCCCCGACCATGGCGGTCCGGGGATGGAGGTCCCTGTGCCCTTCTTCACCACCTTCGAGGTCAACCCCGGAACTCACAGTTCCTGCGACGGCGCTGGAACCAATCGTGTTGGCGTATGCCTTTCCATTGGAGACTTTCAGCGCCGTGGAGAGGTGGGGACCTGCTGCCTGGGTAACAGCTTCTCCCCCCAAGGCACCCTACCCTGGCTTTGCGCCCTGGTGAGGCCACTCCAGGCCGACAACCAGAGCGCAACTCCATAGTCTCCTGAGACTGATGGATCTCTACTATATTATTTCTTACCCCACAATCCTCTTCCTACAGCCCGTCCCCCTCTCCTGCTGCCCCTGCTGCCTCTATGTTGCCACCCCCCCTCCTGCTGCCTATATGTTGTCCCCCCCCTCCTGCTGCCTATATGTTGTCCCCCCCCCCTGCTGCTGCCTATATGTTGTCCTGCTGCCCCCCCCCCCCCTCCTGCTGCCTATATGTTGCCCCCCCCTCCTGCTGCCTATATGTTGTCCTCCCCCCCTCCTGCTGCCTATATGTTGTCCCCCCCTCCTGCTGCCTATATGTTGTCCCCCCTCCTGCTGCCTCTATGTTGCCACCCCCCTCCTGCTGCCTATATGTTGTCCCCCCCCTCCTGCTGCCTATATGTTGTTCCCCCCTCCTGCTGCCTATATGTTGTCCCCCCCTCCTGCTGCCTAT